CAAATTTATACAGAGTTCATGATGAGATCTGTTACAGAGGCAGATAAGCAGAGATTTGTATACTGATCACAGTAACAATAACTTCATTTTCAGGACCAGTCACATTTAAAGAATGCAAGTCTAGCAAGAGGAAAAAAAAAGCCTTTAAGAATTTGTTTTTTTGCTCCTCAGGGGAAGAAAAAAACAAATATAAAAATAATATAGGTCTGTGGTCTGTGTGGTCACAAAATACACAAATGGTAATACATAGCTAGGAAGGTAGAAAACATTTTTTTACAATGGCTATAACTTGATTAAAGCTAACACAGAGTAAAACTGATTGCAGTGAACCACAGTTTACTAACTGTGCTTGTCTACACAAAAAGCTTGTTTTCTGACAAGGAATTGGCTGCAGTACAACTTCATCATTAACCCTGACCCACCCCTGGAGAGAACAAAAAACCCTCTCTGTATCTTACATAAGCATTCATAGAAAAATAGGCAGGACAGGTGCTAAAGTGCACATACACTTGACAACCGGGAAACTGATTTGTTTCCATGTTTTAAAGTTGCCAGGGTTTTCTATTCCCACCATATAAAACTCAGCTTCTGAGCAGTTCCATTGCCATTTGTTGTCTCTGGATTAAAGAACATAACATTACAAAAGTCTCACCTTTAGAGCTGCTGCATGATGGGACATAGTCCTGCCTACCCGTTTGTCACTGCTGTACTGCTGTATGTCTGCTATCCACTCCTCACACTGAGCCATGATCTCCACTCTTTTCAAGTAAAAGTGTTTGTGGATGACCTGCAAGAAAACATTCCCAATGAAACAAGTGTTTGTTGTTTCTGAAGAACCATATACATTAACAATACCAAATCTGCAAGACCTCTATGAGTCTAACTTGAATATAAGGGGGAAAAAATGTACTGCTGTATGTCTGCTATCCACTCCTCACACTGAGCCATGATCTCCACTCTTTTCAAGTAAAAGTGTTTGTGGATGACCTGCAAGAAAACATTCCCAATGAAACAAGTGTTTGTTGTTTCTGAAGAACCATATACATTAACAATACCAAATCTGCAAGACCTCTATGAGTCTAACTTGAATATAAGGGGGAAAAAAAATCAGTATGGTATGAAGTCTGAATTCAGCTGATCCTGTCTGGAGCAGCTGGTTGCCCTGGATGTCTCTTCCAGTCTGTATGAATCCATGTTTTGTTTGCAGCCTGCCATTTCAGCACTCACCTGTGTTACCTGGGTGCAGGTAACTGAGTGCCAGAAACACACCAAGCAAAAGAAAAAGGATAGCAGAATGCTATACACCTTTCAGTTCAGAGATGAACTTACTATGCAGGCACGATGTGTGGACATTTGTGCTTGCACAGGGACAGAGTCACACAGATACAGCATTATGATATGTGGACATTTGTGCTTGCACGGGGACAGAGTCACACAGATACAGCATTAAGGCTTTTACTGTTTCCTTCACCATCCTGTTTTGCTAGAGAAGTACTGGTAGGAAGTACAAACACTGTATT